GGAATAGAATTTCCGGAAGAAGTGAGGCTGGATATGCTTCGAGGGGGTGGGGGTGCTTACCCATTCACCTCCTCCTTCTCCATTAAGAGTTGCCTGAAAGAAACTCTGGATGTGTGCACCTAAAACAAGATAGTATGAGAACACCTGGCTTAGCGTACATCGGCAGGTGGATAAGCCTGCATGAGCGATAATAAATTCTTTACCCTAAAGTCAAATTTATGAATCTCGTACACCCCCCCCCCCCGCCTCCCGTCGGTAGTTGGAGGGACAAGGAAATAGACAATTACACGTGTTTTATTATCTTGACATAACCTGCGGGGCTACCTAACTAGAGTGACTAACCACACAGAGGGGGTAGAGGTTCTAATCCTGCCGACACAGGTGCTTTAGTTGTACGTAATACAGGTACTACACATCATTTTACTAGGTAATACATTACACACACATATATGTATAATATATATATATATATATATATATATATATATATATATATATATATATATATATATAAAACTCTATTTTATAAGCCATATGGACCGTTAGGTTTCGAACCTAGCAGTCCATGGGTCTGATGAAGTAGAGCGCATCTGTTTCTGTGATCTCGACATATCAAAGGATAATGTGGCCAGCACTATAGTCAGCCGCCTTTACTTTACCAAACGTAAGTCAGGTACGCGTTAGAGCTGGGTGGACTCAGGGACTTACTAAAGAATCGAACTTCGTGATCTGAATTCGAAATATTTGTGGTTAGCAGTCGTACGCTCCACCATTCGACAACCCCATCCCAGTCTATACACACGCGAAATTATTAAAAAAATATATATATTCATATTTGTTTGTACATACGTCTATACATTCATTCATGGAAAAAAATTAAGCGTGGCTTCAAAAGGAACAATACCATTGTTTGTGTTCTAATTCATATTACGGCGTTTAGTCTACATACAAGAGCAGTATTCACATCTGTTTGCTAGGTTTTTCAGTTCAAATTTCAAAACCTATGCCAACTATAAGCAGTTATAATATCATTTCACAACATACCCTCCACCCCTTCAGAAAAACAACTCACTACATCAGTAACTAAAACATATAAACGTTCCTCAAACCATAGCACCACCGTTCACTGCAGTATGAAATCCAAATGAAAAAGCACCCCCTGCAAGGCTAGTGCTGTTTTCCGTAAATTGACCGTGAAAAAGTTGCCCATAGAGGGGTGAAAGTTCTATTGATTGGTAAAAAGAGAAAAAAAATCAACTGTAAGTGCAGCTATTTCTATTGCATATATGCGACTGATACGAGGGAATAACTGGGACTGGGGTGTATTGATTGATAAAAGCTGTGAAAGTCTTCACGAAGGTTTTGTTGGTATTTAAAATACCGTGGAATGCTTAGGTTTAACCTCGTACATAAATGATGTCATGAGTTGTGGAAGGGGTGTGGGGGTGGGGGGTGGGGTAGGAAATGTGTGGGCGTATGAGGGTCACTGTGTTAGTTTGAGACTGGTGGGGGTCGGTTAAATAATGCTACGTCACGCAGTAGTATTTACTATGAGGATAGCTAAGGTGAAACCGCGGTAGTTTTTTGTTTTTTTTTGGGTGGGGTGGGGGTGGGTGGGGGGAGGCTAAAGAACTCTTAAGTCACCTACTCCCCCGCATTCGAGATATATCTAAGGTGGTTTAGTGTGTAACCATGAGCTACAATCGTAACGCCCAAAACTGATACAACGGTACCTCGGATAGCGAAGTTGATACCTGAAGTTCGCTCATTCATGCACTCGTTGAACCAAACACGTATTGCCGAGCCTCACCAGTTTCATATTGCGCTGCGCGTTCACTGACCCCTTCGCAATGGTAATATCGTCCGCACTGACAACATCCGATCGTGAGTCATGCGAGTTGGATGTGTATCTTGACCTCCGCCGAACCCCCGAGACTGACTCACCGAACCCTTAGGGTTCGATCGAACCCAGGTGAAGAATCACTGTTCTAGACTTTCTGGTAAGCATTCCACCGAATGACCATTTTGTCCCATAAATGATTTTTACTAAAGCTCATAAATTACATCCACCCTCCATTATTTATAGTTTTGGATGAACATACTTTTAACATTTGAATTATTAAATCCCCTAAAACATGCTAGATAAAGTGCGTTTTTGAATGGTGGTGTCTTGTTCATTTTTTTTTTTATTTTTAAATCTCTTCTCTCATCTTTTTCCCCATTCGTGCCCAAGACACATGGGGCAAAAGAAGTAGAGTTCATCTTTTTCCCGAGACGTGAGTTGGGTACCCATCAGAGCTGGGTGGACTCAGGGACATTCTAATAACATGAACCCGGATTCGAACTCGATACTTGCGGGTTAGCATTCCAGCTCTCCAATGCTAGACCAAGCCGTACCATGAATTTTTAAATCTAATTATAATAAAAAATTATATATTCTTGAGTTGTCATCGGTAACGAATTTATCTAGTAATGGAATCGAAACCGGTATTTTAAAAATGTGTCGAAACTGAGTTAAACATTTTTAACCATCGGCCCATTCATCAATTTACAGACATTGCGACCTATGTAAAAAAAAAAGTAAAAGCTTGCAAAAAAAAAAATAATTATAACATGACATGACATCCTACCCCTGACCAACCCAGGAATATATACCCTCGTGATAAGGCAATGCGACGTTCCGCTTTGTTTACCAACATCCCCGCGCCAAAACCTTACCGTATTCTCCTCGCTAACCCGTGTAGAACGCAACGGGAATACCCAAAGCCATTAAGAAGCCAAGAAGAATAGCCTATGTTATTCAACTTTGCAATTCAATATGAATAAAAAAAAACCTTTTTAGGCTATATCATGATATGACACACACAACACACATTAACGTGTGTAATAGGGTTGTGGACGTGTAACCTTTTAACACAAGGGATTAAGCATGTGTGTATAGATAATGCAATCGTGTTTTTTTTAAAGCTATGGTTAGGTTATGTTAAAAAAAAGACTATGGATTTGCTGGGGTCTATGCTAGAGTATACAGGCAACCCCTACCCCTCTCTTCACGAACCTACTAAAATGCTTCCGTGCGTATCAGTAAGCAGAAATGGAATACGGTGTTCGGTAAACGCAAGATGGAAGGTTTTGATTTTAAACTGCTGTGGATTATAGTAGAAAGAGGTGTGTTACGCTTCATAGTTAAAACTGTAGGACTGCATTGAATATGTGTAATTTTATACTGACAAAGTTAGGGCTAATGTGGGAGAAAGATTCTGTTAGATCAGTAGAGATGGTTTAGTAAGAGGTAGCGTTATGTTATAGGTGGATAAAAAATGTTACAATAAGAGGTAGAGTTATGTTATAGTTGGATTAAAGATGTGTTTGCAATAGTTAAAGTTATTTTATAGTTGGATTATAGATGTATTAGTAAGAGGTAGAGTTATTTTATAGTTGGATAAAGATGTTATTGTAAGAGGTAGAGTTAGGTTCTACTAAGGTTAAAGAAACGAGGGGGAATAGATTATAATGAAATAACGTTTCTTCTTTTAAACTCTCAATCTTGCACTATTACTACTATTAGTAAAAATAGTAGGGCTACAATCTTGTGTGTGTGTGTGTGGGTGGGGGGGGGGGGGGGTAGTAGGTTCAGTGCGTAGATGTTATATTCTAAACCCCTATCCCTACCACGTACCATGGATTCCAATAAAAACAACAACAAACAACTGCTGTCTTTTTACGAATTGTTATAGCTTTTGATTTTGTTTATGCCTACTCGCAATTTTGCAAAACCGCAAATTTTAAGTTCTTAAAATCATCTTATAATACACAAACACGCACATACACATATATATACATATATATATATATATATATATATATATATATATATATATATATATATATATATATATATATATATATATATATATATATATATATATATATATTATAGACAATGTTTACCCCTTCCTAGCCATTTATTAAAAGATTATATCAACTCAACTGAGGGGTTACATTCGTGAAGAGGAGGTTCTAAAAGACAGGTGTATAGAGGTTATATTTGGTAGTATCGATACCTTAATCCTAACTATGAGGGCATAATCCTAACCCGAATCTTGGGCATAGACTTAGTTCTAGCACTAAGCAATAACCCTAACCATGCACCATCGACACTGGGAGAAAACAACTTACGTATAATACAGTACTCTCTAAACCATTACGCTAGCCCTAGATTTATGTGTTGTAGTGTTTGGTGATTTGGCAGCTTTTTTTGTAACTACATTATCTGGTGTGTTCTTTGCTACCCATTGTAGGTTAACTACCTACTTTCAATAAATGCAGTTGTAAATCTTCAACTGTACAAGATAGTAAGTAACAGAAATAAATTGTAAGCAACCAAGGCGCCTCAAATCATTGACCTGGGACAGTTTATTTGGTTTTTTAGAACATTTTACTTATCTTTGACGACATTTAAATGTTGCTGATGCAAGTTTAAAAAAAAAATCTTAACAAGGAGTCTTGTTGATTAAAAAAGAACCACGATTATCTACGTAAGGATCGTATACAAAAAATTTTGAAGAATTAAAAAAAAATCTAACGAAAGTCATTACGTTTTTTTTTTTCAAGATTCTACTTTTTAATTAACACTGACTTTATACATTTAACTCGTAAATTGTATACTATTAAAGACCTATTATATTATCGTTACCTGAAATAGAATTCACTTCCACTTTACTCCTTAAGAACTGCTTTTTAAAATATCGGTAATACATAATCACATAACACCTCATTTAAATATTTCTGAATACAAGTACAAGCGTACGTAAACTACCGTTTAGCAAAGTTTTGTAAATATTATTAACAGTACATTCAAATTTTCAAAAAACAAAAGCACACTATTTTAAAGTAGGTTATTATTTTTCGTTCAATTAAAACCATATTTGAAGCAACTGGAATAAAATGTACATCGACATGAGCGTAACACGAAAAACTTAAATCTAAATCCAACCTACCTTTTCAATTACATATAAAGATTCCCTTGTAAAGTTTTATAACAAATTGTTATTGAAAGCTACGAAACAAACATTCCCGTTAGTCATGTTTTTTTGTAGTCCCGCTTCAAAAACACTGTCATACGGCAGACGTCGAATCCCACAAGTGATCGGCGCGCCGTTCGCGTAATAGCGCGACACCCCTCGGATTTGATAGTAAACTCGCCCGCCGTCTCGTCAAGCGAAAGATCTGTTACGGTATTTTTTTTCTCCCCCCTCGTCAGCGGCTAGACAAACGTCAGCGCGCGCGCTGGACGGTGGGCGGGGCCGTGTTTTACAAATTGTTAAAAAGTGCTTTTCTTGCATTGTATGTGTGTGTATGTATGTATATGTGTGTATGTATGTATGTATGTGTGTGTGTGTAAGCATGTATGTATGTGTTTGTGTGTGTATGTCGTCATGTGTGCTGTATCGGTCAGCTGAGAACCAAGTTTTTTTTTTAAATAGCGGTTCGTAATTACCTTGTTGGCTAAATGATAATTAAACAATAGGGGGAGGAGGGGGGCTTGAACTGTTTTCTTATTCTTTTAGCTTTTTTATTTTGTTTTGAAAAATTGAATCAAAACAAGAACACGTGACCTGACACGTGCTAGCGAGAGTACACCCATGGATGTTGACATGGTTGTTGTAGATTAGCTGTACCCTCCAGTTCCTATAGTCTCTGTCGGTGATTTGGATTATCTAACCATGGGGGAGGGGGGGGGGGAGAAGAAGAAGGGGGAGGGGAGAGCAGTGTTTCTTACTACCAAGTCCAACCCCACTCATCAAAGAAATATAGAAAAAGTATGTAGAAAATGTATCTTTTAACCACGTATCCCTCCTGTATCCCCCCTTCCCTCCTCGGGAAGATTTAAAGGGGGGGGGGGGGGGTGGTATTTAATCGAAGTTAAGGTTAGGGCTATAGCTAGTGGTATTCGGTTACTTACTGTTGGGTATGGCTAATCGACAAATCGATGCATGTTTTGAGCAAGAATTAAGAATTCCATCTATATGAGTTGGAGAGCGTGCATCTTCAGTGCTGGGCTAGATGTAGTTCTAACTTTGGGCTAGGCTTTCTGCGCGTGACTTTATGTATATTTTATATAATACAATGTGATTTATCTTTTATAGTCCACACGCGTCAACAAAGGTTTTAAAACCCTTTCTTTTTTTATCTTTTGTTGACGACCTCTCAGTTCCTTCCCCCATGAAATTTTAAAACATACAAGGGAAATAACCCATAAATAAGTTCCTAAACTTGAGTGAAAATATCTGACATAAATAATAAAATTAAAATAAATGTCAATTTAAAATATTTTATATGTTATAATTTAAAGTTTAATTGATAAAGTTTTTACGTTTTCCCCTGAAGGAGTATTAAAAAAAGTATGCAACTCCAATTTAAATCAAAACCTTTCATGAATGAAAGAAAGGAATGTATAAACATTGGAATGAAACATAAAGTGGTCGTTTATGCTTGAATTCTCTCGTTTACAAAAATTATAACAGTTTTTGAAAAAAAAAAAAAAAAAAAAAAAAAAAAAAAAAAAAATTACAAATTCAATATCAAAGTTGTATGGTTTGCCATAATGGGGCGCCAGAGAATTGGTATGGGGAGAAAGAGAACTGCTATCCCAATGGGGCGCCAGAGAACTGTTATACCAATGTAGCGCCAGAGAATTGCTATGGGGCGCCAGAGAATTGTTATCCCAGGAGGGGAGGGCGCCATAGAATTGGTATGGAGCGCCAGAAAACTTTTAGCCCAACGGGGCGCCTGAAAATCGTTACAGGGCGTCAGAAAATAGTTATCCCCACTAGGCGTCATAAAATTGTTATCCCAACCCAATGTGGCGCCAGAAAATTAACCCCATGGTACTTATAACGAAGAAGTACTTTTTGTCAACACATTCCTTCAAATATAAATATTAGAATGGTTTTACACAAACACACACGCACAAACACACACACATACACACATACAATTATATCTTTGTATATATCCTATATATGTATAAATATATATACATATATATTTACATGTATAAGTAGCATTAATGAACTATTTTTTGCATGAACTATTTTTTGCATATATATTTTATGTAGGAAACACACACACACACACAGAGCCGGCGTTAGGGGGTGGCGAACGGGGCGGTGGCCATAGGCCCCGCGCTTGAAGGGGCCCCGCGCTTCAGCACTGTCACTGTTATCTGAATAAGTTTGTAAACTTAAAAAAAAATGTTGCTGAATTCAATTGGGAAAAACTAAATGGTCGAATGCCGACGTTGTTGATTGTTATAACTGAGGCCACGGTTGATGTTGGTGAGTCCCACCTGAACTGGGACAGGCCGTAATTCGATACAAAAATAGTGTCACGCCTACCCTTTATGTACGGTACGGTCGCCTGGCATTTGACCTGAGCTGACTGGAGATGGCGGTCGAGAATTACCCCACGACGTAAAGAGATACCCTATTGTATGCGGACCGATGAAGACGTCCTTTTAGTGAACTCTAGTCCTGACTTTCTTGTTGTAGATGCCGTATAATGTCGTATATGTACAGTGTTTCTTCCAGACTTTTTTCTCCGGGGGGGGGGGGGGGGGGGAGGGGCACTTGAAATTTTCGGGGGGGGGGGGGAAGGCGGTAGACTTTCCTCGGGGGGGGGGGGGGGGGCGGACACTGTTAAAAGTATATATTTTCTCTATAAATTATATAAATTTCATTTCGTTTTCGGGGGGGGGGGGGCGGGCTTGCGCCCCCCCTCCCCCGAAGAGATGCCTGGAAGAAACTCTATATGTAGGCCTACTTGTCTTGGTATAACAAAATTAACATTCAGTTGCGTGCAGAGGGGTGGGAGGAGGGCGACGAGGCGGGGGGGGGGGGGGGGGGCTTAGGATCTATATCAGGCGGCATTAAACAGAGTGATTTATTATTATTTTTTGGAAGAAAGTTAAAACTGTTGTTATGTTGTGTTACCTTAGGGATTCACCCGTTCAATAATTAAGACAATAATGATTTTGGTTTTAAAATATTGTATGAATTCTAAACAAATTTTGAAGTCTATACTGTTTTGATACATCAGGCCGAGTTCGCTGTATTGTAAACATTATTTTCCTATTTATTCGGCACGTGATTAAATTTTCTTAAGTGATTTGGTATGAATTACATAACTGTCAAAAGTGATTTAATATCTTAGAAAAGGAAAAAAAAATCTACGAACATTGGGTTAATACATGGGAGAGATAAAAATCTGTTATTATACTGGAAAGTTTGACATTAGCTTATAAACTCCAAAACATTTGTGTTATTATGTGTACATCACATTATATAGGCCTTTATACATACATACATACATATATATATATATATATATATATATATATATATATATATATATATATATATATATATATATATATATATATATATATATATATATATATAATGGAAAGGCCCCGCGCGGATGGTTGGCCCTAGGCCCCGCGTATTCCTAACGCCGGCTCTGCACACACACACACACACATATATATATATATATATATATATATATATATATATATACATATATATATATATATATATATATATATATATATATATATATATATATATATATATATATATATATATATATATATATATATATATATATATACATTTACTATTTTTTGCCTTGGTGTCACCCCCCCCCCCCAAATGGTGTCACCCGGTGCGGTACGCACCCGCCCCCCCCTCGCTACGCGTCTGCCCCCTACAACCACCCCCGCTGCCTACGCCACTAGTACGAAACAAACTCTACTATAGCCCTTCCTCGGTGACCGTCAGCGTTCAATCGCCTACTTTATTTCAAATATCCAGGACAATGCCCCACCCCGCGAAATCGAAAGTTAAAATTCGATTTTAATTAATTTTTAATCTCCGCAACTATTATTTTATGACTTCCTGTGGCATAATGGACAAAATTGTCGTCTCGTGCATATCGCTGCAATACCTACATACAACTTCCGGTGCAAAGTAATATAATATAATAGAGGCGCGATTTTATATCGCGGTGGTGTTTTATGGCCGGCGGTACGGGTGGGTATTTTTTAGTGGGGTTTTTCTGTGGGGTTATTTGGGTACGAAGTAAATGTTACTTGAGAGAGTTAGGGTTAAGGAGCGCGCACGTATTATTAAAATTACACTGTTGTATTAGGTGGTCATTAGGGTAGATGAAGTAGAGTTCTCCAGTTTCTCTGACCTTCGCATGTGAGACTGACAGTGTTTTCAGAGCTAATCCCAGCCGCGTTTATCTTTACTTGACTAGAGCTGGGTACCCGTTATAGCTGGGTGGACTCAACCGAGTGAAGTCTTATGGAACTTGAATTTTATGAGTAAGCAAGCCTGCGCTTTCCCGCTTTAACACGGTCAAATTCTCATGATTTTGAAGGCAGAATAAAGGACATATTCTAGGTCCGAGGTGGTTTGACCTCAAATGATTTGACCCCGCGGGGTTTGACGACAGGGGGGCTTTGACCATATGGTCAAACCGCCATTTGGTCAAAGCACATATGGTCAAAACCCCTATGGTCAAAGCACCTATAGTCAAACCAGTGTTTCTTTCAGACTTGTTTTTCACACGGGCTTTGGGGGGGGGGTGTGAACACTGGTAAAAGTATATATTTGGTATATAAATTCCTTTTCGTTGTGTGTGTGTGTGTGGGGGGGGGGGGGACTGTAAACGTACTTTGGGGAGGGGGGGGGGTTGCCTCCCAAAGAGATGGCTGAAAGAAACACTTCTTCAAAGATCCGTTTACCAAATACCGTTAAGCCCTAGTCACCCATCGTCACAAAAATTTTGACCCCCCCCCCCTGCTTAATTACTACATTAATACATTAATTATTGTAGGACGTCTTTAAACGTATAATAGAGATTTCATTATGTCCAATATGGCGGCATATTGAAGGTTACAGTAGTCTTTCCTGGAAGTTACGTGTGTGTTTGTATGTATGTGTATGTGTTTGTGTGTGCGCTTGTATGTGTATTTTTATGTGCGAATTTTGTGTGTATTGGTGTCTGTGCAGTGTGTTTGTGTCTGCGTGTGCTTGTATCGTGTGTTTGTGTTGGTGTATTATATGTATGTCCATGTGTGTGTAGTTGATATAAATAGCGGGTGGTTAGTGTACACGTATAACCAAACTGTCTTTAAAAAGGTGTGTGTCTCCAACTACCATATTTTAACATTCATGTTTATGCCCAATTTGTTGCATTCTTGAAGCTAAAACAGCATTAACTTAATGTAGCCTCGAATTAAATTATATAGCTTTTCAAATTGAACCGACATCGGCCACATTTACAATAAAAGGGAAATAACTCATTAAATAGATTTTATTTTGTGAAAACCGGCCTACCTTCCTTAGTTTAATTTTTTTTAAATGTTTAATTTTGATTTAAAAAAATAATGAATTTGTTTTAATTAATTTTTTAATTAATTAGCCATTCAAACTGGAACTAATCTCTAATAATATCTCTAATATCTGTAATTTAAGCTTCGATTTTGCTAGTGTTCTGCTTACTGCTATATCGTAGTAGGCCGCAACCTTACTTAGGTCATGTTTGTATAAGGCTAATTATGATAAAGCTAGTGAGTTGAAGGCATGCTGCACGTAACACAACGGTAGACGTAAAAGTTGTTTTATTATTGTGGTATTATGTGTTGATGGCGTAGTTTGGTATAGGATAGTGTTTTATATTACGCTACCTCAAATTTCTTAAAACTTTATTTAAAAAAACATTCTTTTGTTTGGAATAGGTGAATGAATACATCGACACAATAAGCTAAGAGTAAGACGTATGTTTTCATAAAAATGTAGAGCCATAGGCGTAGCAAAGGGGGGAGGATACATATGTCCCCGGGCGCCGACATCAGGGCGCCAAAATGGGGAGGAAAAAATTAAAAGCTCATTTTAGCTGCAGATTTGAACTATAAACATAAAAAATAAAAAAAAATAAGGTGGGGGCGCCAAATTGAAGGTTTGTCCCCGGGTGTCGGGAGGGGTCGCTACGCCTCAGTGTAGAGTACTGTAGAGCATCGTAATTGCTTCAAATATACTTGTACCTAGAAATGTTATTCGCGTGTGCTCTTACTACGTTATGAGGTTCAACAGTTTAAAATGGGGAGGGGTATGAAGGGCGATTTAGACATCGCAAGGGTAGTTATGATTATGAAATTGACCAGTCAAAATATTTTATATAGTCGTGGGTAATGTATTAGTTTACCAACTAGGCCCCATTGACCAATGGGATGAGCATGGGGGATTGGATAACGCATAAGTTTAACGGAGATTGGATTATCCATAGGTTGAGCAAGGGGTTTGGATAATCCATAGGATGAGCAATGGAGGACTTGATAAAACATGAGATGAGCTTAGCGGATTGGATAACCCATAAGATTAACGGCGATTCGATAATCCATAGGTTGAGCAAGGGGTATGGATAACCCAAAGGAAGAGCAAGGAGGATTGGAAAACCCATGGGATTAGCAAGGGTTGATTGGATAACCCATGGAGTGTATATATATATATATATATATATATATATATATATATATATATATATATATATATATATATATATATATATATATATATATATATATATATATATATATATATATATATATATATGTGTGTGTGTGTGTGTATGTATATATATATATATAATGTAACAAATGAATACCCTTCATTGTGTATAACAAAGCTACAAAATGTATACAAAATAATATAGTAACATATAGGATGACGTCACATGAAAGTTACGCCTCTGCGTGATTACGTCATAGGGAAAAGCTCCACCTCTGCATGTGGATTTTATTTAATTCCAAAAAGTCATATGAGTGATGATGTCATGGACCTACGCCTATGCACACCGATTGACACAGCCGCCACATTGAAAGAAAAAAAAAAGAAAAAAAATAGAACTAAATCGTGACTAGGAAAACTTAACTCTGTTGAACAAAGTCACAAACTAGGCCTCGGGTTCAATATGCGTAACCGCAAACACTACTGTGCTGGTATGTGTGTGCGTGTGATTTCATTGTGTCAACAGGGGTATCGAGGCTTATCACGGCTTGTGACACTTGTGTGTAGTCTATGGCTGTCATAGTGGTATTGATGTGTAGGTAAGGATGTGTGCTTTGATCTACGTGTCGTGTGAATGTGTAAGTTTTGGATTACTTATGTTTTATTATATTTAAACAGTTTCTATTGTGAAATGTAAACATAAAGATTTTTTAAAATGTAGTTTGTATATGTGATTTTTTTCTTCTTCAGTTTCGTATTATTTATGTATGTTACTTCGCATGTGTTACGTATAATGTGATGTTTATGTATTAGTCTTTCCTATTTGTGTTGGCTGATATGAGTATGAGTGTGTTTACGAGTGTGTTATTTTGTGTTTGACTGTGTCAACTCACTTATGTCTGTTTGTACATACTGTCTCTTGTGCGTTGCCTATCATGTGCGTCCTTTACGTGTTATCTTATAGGTGTGTATTTGTTCTTTCACATATGTAAATACTTGTTACTATGAAAACATACATAAAGTGTCATCTCGTTTTTGTCGCATCTTATGTGTGTCGGCGCATATATATATGGAGATACGCAGATAAAACGACATCCAGATACACATACATATATACAAGCCTATATATATATATATATATATATATATATATATATATATATATATATATATATATATATATATATATATATATATATATATATATAATGTATATATATATACACACACACACATATATATATATATATATATATATATATATATATATATATATATATATATATATATATATATATATATATATATATATATACATGTATATATATCTAAGGTGTGTTATTTCCTGTGTGTGTGTGTGAGTGTGTGTGTTTAAAATTTAGAATATCATATCCAGTTGTAATTTTTTTGTATTTGATCACAAAATGCAACAATATATTCCAAAGATGAAATCAGCGATTTTTAAAATAAAAAAACCGATAAAAGGCGTCTATTAAATTTAAAAATTTGGAATAGCGTTTTCAACTAACAAATATAACCTACATAATCAAAAAAGAATGATGGAATAGCTTAAACAAGTCCTGAAATGCCCTTAAAAATATCAATGATCAAACAACGTCACATCAACTTTGCAGGGATGGTTAAAAATACTCGAAAAACGTTTTAATAACAAGCTTTTAATTATTCACTAAAAAGAAGAAAATATATCATTTTTCGTTTAATATATAACAATGTACTAGTATTTAAATAACCATCAATAAATAGGTGAATCGCTTCTTAATTTTTAGTAAAGGTATTAAATACGACATAGGTACCCACTATCATATTAGCTTACAGCAGTAAAAGTTATAAGAAGATTAAACCTTGATTGCTTGGAATAGGGTCTGGACTTAATAACAATAGAGTTCTAAGGTCACAGTGGGTGTTTGGGTGAGTTTGTGGTCAAATCTTGTAAGTTTTTTATGGTTACTTTAAATGTAAAATGTCAACGAAATTACTTCTTATGGAATTGTATTACATTTAAGCTACAAGAGTCGTTCACACTTTTACATTATGACCCGAGTAAAAACGAGTGAAAAATATTGTTTGAGAGTTGAGTGGAGGAGTGTAGAACAAAATACCGTATCATTGGGCATTAGCTAAAGTGTCCTGACTGCAGAATACACAACGTCCCTGAGTCAACCCAGCTCTAATGAGTACCTGACTCACGGTAGGGAAAGTGAAGGTGGATAGGCATTGTGCTGACCATACCACCTCTTCATATGCCGGTGTCAAGACAAATATTATGGACTACTTCATCATACTTGTCCTAACAGATAGTCATGGTTGTTTCCTAGCAGATAGTTATGATCGTTTTTAAGAAGATATCTGAACCTAGATTTTTCAAAAAAAAGAAAAACCGCTTATAATTATAAACAAAAATTCCAAACAAAAACGCTTAAGAAAATCTTAAATGATAATTTTAATATATTAATGTATTTTTATATCAAAATGAAGCTCCAAGTGAAAAAATGAAAGATATCAGCAACAAGATGGAGGTTAGCACAGGAACGATTCTACTTCCGCCATGTCGGATCTGTGGTGACGTCAGTTCCGGTTTTCACTACGGCGCCAACACGTGCGAGGCATGTAAGGTACGCTTAAAACAAACGCCATTCTCTCGACAATTTGTTTAGGTAAGGATCAGCCAGAGTGGAGTGTGGGTGGGTGGGTTGGGGGGGGGGGGGGGCGCTATTTTTACATAGTCTTCAAATAGGTTTAGGACTTTACCCCACCCCCTTCCCCCATCCCCGTAAATCCCCCCCCCCCCCAGACATTACCTCGGAGTCATTATTTCACTGTGTATTAACCTCCTCTTATGTCAAGTCTCCCCCCCCCCATTCCCATCCCGAAGAACCCTAACCCCTAACCACAAACATATAGCTAACCCTAACCCCATCATCAATCCTAACCCCAACTTAACCTACATCTAACCCTAACCCTGACTCTTAACACTGGCCCTAACCCTGTTTCCAGAGTTTCTTCCAGGCATCTCTTCGGGGGAGGGGGGGGGGGAGAACGGGGGACGGACGGACGACTACCCCCCCCCCCCCCGAATTTATATAGAAAACATATACTTTTACCAGAGTCCGCCCCCCGGAAAATCTTGTCTGCCCCCCCCCCCCGAAAATATCAAGTGCCCCCCCCCCCCCACCCCCAGAGAAAAAAAGTCTGGAGAAACACTGCCTGTTTTTGCAAGAAAGTTATTATGTAGAGTAGTAGAGTAATGGAATCGCCATCAATTACTAGATACAAAATTATTACACACTTCAGTTTTATAATTGTTTTAATGAAAGAGATTGTAAAAAAGTCCTTTCATACCAATTAGTAATAATTATTTTGACCTGTAAACAGAGTTTCTTCCAGGCATCTCTTGGGGGTGGGGGGGTGGGGTGGGGGGGGGGGGTAGGGAGGGGAGCTCAGCTCCCTCGAAGAAAGTCTACCGCCCCCCCCCCCCCCCGGAACGAAATGGAATTTATATAGAAAATATATACTTTTACCAGTGTCCGCCCCCCCCCCCCCCCATCCCCCAGAAAAATGTTGACCGCCTCCGAAAATATCAAGTGGCCCCCCCCCCCCCCCTCCTGGAGGAAAAAGTCTAGAAGAAACACTGCCTGTAGAGTGTAGATTATTGCTGCGTTGTGCTGGCGATATATTAGCCATTGGAAAGACCAGGCCTCGAAACTCTCTTAATTAACAGACTACTAATTATTTATTAGAGAAACTTACAAGCTTTATTAATTAGTTGTATAAAATAAAATTTAATTGCGTACAAATTGGTAGTCCAACGCTTAAAACAGAATTTAAATTATTTTTAAAAAAACTGAATAATGAAACTAGGTTTACCTAGTGTTTCATTCGTGCTTTTACCCCCCGGGGGTGGGGACACTTGAAACTGTGTGTTTGGGGGGGGGGGGAGGGGAAGGCGGATTACATTTTCCGTAGTGGGGGACGGACACTGGTAAAAGTATATCTTTCCTATATAAATTCTATTCTGTTTCTTTCGGGGGGGGGGGGGGGGGGGGTAGACGAGGTCCCTGAAAGAAGCACTGGGTGTACCCTCTTTGCCGGGTGTAGAAATGTACATAACACCACTGTAGATGTGTACCAATGTAAACTGAAATGTAGTGAACGATTTTTATTTCAGGGATTTTTCCGACGC